AAACCACACAGTGGTAGTAAAAAGTGATAGCATAAAGAAAACAGTAAGATCCACCTTCCAATAATGGCTTTGTTGAAAGACCAAGGTAAGCTGTGAGGTCCCGTGGATTTCAAAAACAAGGGAGAATCAAAGGCATTTTTTTCCTTATGAAAATACTGGAGAGAAAGAGGACCTGGTCCCTGAGTGTGCTGTATGGCACACCCCATTCCCCACATGTTTATTAATGTGGAATGTAAAACTTGTAGAATTGAACTTTTAATAAAATGAGAAATTGCTGTAATCTCAGTATATTTTCAGGGTTTAAAACTCTTATTTTATCTAGATCACAACTCTTTCAGCCTTGGCATCAAACAGTTATTCTGAGTGCTAAGCAAATATGAAAAATATGGGACTGGCCTTCATCTTACTTTTCCATGCCAAGCTGGCTTACTCCAGAGGCCAGACAAGTGTGAGTCCTTGTCCTCTGGATGCCACCATGTCTCGGGATAAGCTAGTGATCTGCAGACCTAAATAACCAGGGCCCCACCTCAGGGAGCACTCCAGGGACTTTTATCTGGAAGTCTGAGGTCATCACTTCTGGGACTCAATTCTACCCTGCCAGAAGTCAGAAGCATGGGTGAAGAAATGTTCATATAACAATATTGTTTTTACTCATTTTCATATTTTTTTTACTATGGTTTCTGCTTAAAAAGTCAAGAGTAATTTTTGCCACTTCATTCCTAGATAATGAACAGACAGCTATGGTAGAAGAATCTGTATTAGAGAAAGTTCTTGTGGGTTTAAAGAGGTAGTGTTTGTAATTTTCAAACTTGGACAAGAGTTTATAAAATTGGCTTTACTCTGAAAGTGGCCAAAACCAATGTGACGTAAGCTGCAGCTTGAGAAGAGCTTAGATGAGGATGGGGAAGTGGGGAGTTGAAGACTAGACTACAGGGAATGGGGAGGATGCAAGCTAGGGAATACCTATGGGAGGAAGAAGAAGGAAGCCAGCACACATGGGGTGCAGACACTGACCATCCATGGCCAGCTTGGTTTCAGCCCACGTGAGCCATCAAAAGACAAGTTCATATCAAGTGTACCTGGGCTTTCTGACCAAATAAAATCCTTTTTATCAAAACTGGAACCCAAAGTAATATCCCAACAAGCCAAGAGGATTGGGCCCCCAGGCAGAGTCCTCCTTTTCTGACACAGGGCAGGGCAGGGAGCAGGGAGGAGGGGGCAGGGAAGGTCTCCCCTATCCCCACCAGGGAGACAAGAGCAGTGGTAGAGTGGAAACTCAGCAGGCCCCTGCACCCTTATTGTTCCCTCTTATTTTCACTCCCAGACAGGTTATTGACCATGGGGAGCAAATTATGAGAACTTACATAAGCACAGTTGTACTCGATGATCTTCAGGCTAAGTTTAGCGTAGCCCCAGCCACAGAAGAGAGCGAGAGGCAAAATGAAGCACAGCTGCTTTTACTAAGTTGTTTAGATTCAGAGAAGCAGGAACCCAGGTTTCTCTTGTTACTATGTCACACCCCTCCCTGAGAACTGTTGTTCCACCTCCAAGACTCGCTGAAGGAGGACATGAGGTTTTTTTGATAGGGGATTGATGGAAGGGTTTTTGGATTTTGGAATTTTGATTGGCTGGCTGCAGCCTGCTTGTGAGGCTACTGCGAGAATGATGCTGCTAGAGATTAGAGGAAACATGGGACAATGCAAGTCTGAGAGCCAAGACTTTAAGTGGGATTAAAGGGAACATGGGACAGTGCGAGTCTAAAGATTGAGACTTTAAGAGTTATGCTAATGCAGATTTTAGACGCAAGTTTGAGCACCAAGACTGTAAGCGAGATTAAAGAAAATGTGGGACAGACAGAGTCTAAGGAAAGAGACTTTAAAGAACAGAAAAGAAGCAAGGTTTTAAAGAAAGACTTTACAAGTAAGGTCTTAAAGAATACAGAAGAAAAGAAGCAAAGTAAAAGAGGAGCTAATAGAGAAGTAAAAAAGCAACTCGGATGTGTCTCCATCCGAGTGCCCAGCACACCTGGCCCCAACTTTCTGCATGTCTGTCTTCTGTTGTTTGTCCTTTCTGAGTCTCCTGTCACCGCCAGTTACGTTCAGTAGTAACAGAGCTCTAGAAAGCTCAAGACAATTGGCCAAAGGAAATATGTTTCACTACAAGAAAGCTTAATAAGTCATCCTTAATTATTCAGTTCCTCTGCATAATAAGTCATGTCACTCTCGCTAGGCTATTAACAGTGCAAACAACACAGGAAAGGTCTAGAGAAATAGTTTTCATTCTGTTCATGGCCTTCATAGCAGCCTGTCTCCCACATGGGAGTATGGCTCCCAGTGTCAGCATCACCTGTAAACTTGTCAGAGATGCACATTCCTAGGTTTTACCCAAGATCTATTGGATGGGAGCCCAGCAATCTGTGTTTAAGAAGGCTCCAGGTATGTGGGGAGCGGATTAAAGCCTATGAGAACTGGGCACAAGCAAGGCGAGATACAGTTAATTGCTTTTAGCTGTAGGCTGAGACACACACAGCCCCCCTGGCCAGAAACAGGGAAAGGCAGAACAGCTGCGTCTCCTAAATTGTGTTCAGAGGAGCAGGAACGAAGGTTTCAATGTCATGCCCCTCCCTGTTGCTCCACCCTGTTTGCTGCTATAAAAGACCACTGAAGGAGGCAGAGGGGCTTCACTTTGGGCTTTTTTGTGTGGGAAGCTTTTGGAAGGGATAAGAATTATTGAAGGGGAAAAATTACTGAAGGGAAAAGAATTGTTGAAGGGAAAATGCTAAAGAGGGGTTGATAGAAAGTCTGCACCGAGAACTTTAACATAGGCTTCAGAAAGCAAAGCTGAGAACAAACCTCATAAATAGGCCTTAGGAAAGCTAAAGAAAAGCCAAAGAGAACATGGGACAGTGCACAGTGCAAGTCCAATGACGAGACCTTAACAGTTATGCATATGCAGGTTGCAGGGTGGCTATCTGCAAGTGTGAGCACCAAGGCTTTGAGGGAGCTAAAGAGAGATGGGACAGTGCAAGCCTGGGGGCAAAAGACTTTAAGAGCGATTAAGCTAAAGATAAACTGAAAGCAAACATGGGACAATGCAAGCCTAAGGAAAGAGGTTTTAAGCAAGGTTTTAAAGAACTACAAGGAGCAAGGCCTTAAAGAATCAAGATAAAAGAAGCAATGAGGGTTGTGCATCTCCAGCCAAGTATACAATGCACACCTGACCCCAACTTTCTGTCTGCCTATCCGGTATCTTTTCTAAAATCTCCAGTCCCCCTAGTTAAGCCCAGTTAGGTCCAGTAATAACGGAGGGCGAAAGAGAAAACCTTGCTCCAGCAAGGGAGGGAATGCGAGAAAAAGCACCCCCTTCATAGGTGATTCTGATGTGAATTCAAGTTCGAGAGTCCTGGCCTAGTGGAAAGAAGCTGGGACAGAAGCCAGAAGTCCTAATTCAGATATCAGCTCTGGATGCTGTGAGCAATTTAGTGAGAGTTAAAGAGGAGCCAGGATGTGCCTTTCAGCACATTGAGGCTAATGGAAGGATGAGAGGGTCCACATTAGAGCTGGTCGTGATCCTCAGAAAGCCAATAATATTCTGTATTCTTTTGACCCTCCATGGCAGGAGATATTTTTATTGTTCTTGATTCACATTTGTATTTCTAGTGACTGTAGCATCACAGGCCCTGAAAGCATATAATACATCAAATGGCAGGGCCACTCACGAATTGTAGTAAATACTACTATACAATTCATCAATAACCTTAATACTACCCTAGTCAAGTAAGCACGAGCAATGACTGATTTACTGTTTGTCACCCATCAGTGCTGAGTGCCCCGCATACAAAAGTCTATCAATTCTTTCAACTATCCTGAGCTCTGGATAGTATGTTTAGTTCTACTCTGCTCAGGAGAAACTGAGGCTCAGAATGTTAAGTAATTCATTCAAGGTCAACCAGTAGAGCCAGTGTCACATTCAGAAATGACTCTTCCAAAGGTCAAGCCTGCAAATGTAGTGATGTAACTCTTTGGGGTAAATTTCCTCAAAGCCTCTAAGATTGGTGGCTGATTACCTTCTCAGCATTATTACCAGTTCTTATCTTACAGCTGCCCTTGGCACCCAGCACCTTCAGTGGTCAATGACAAAGAAAAGCAAGTACTGGGAGAGCTCAGTTTTTCTGGGCCACAGAAAAAATTCTTAAAGTAAGACTGAGAAGTATAGGTTACCAATTTAATATTTTGCCAAGCTAACCCTGTCTCCCAAAGACTGATCTACTGTCACCATCATGTTCAATAAGGAAAAAATCCTGATGCCACAAATATAGAAATGACATGGGTTCAGAATAAAGGAGAGTCCACTATATTGCACGCTTATTTTCTCATATGCAATGATCATTTTTACCCTGATTCTCTCATTTTTTCATATGTTGGTATTTGGTTTTCACAGAACAGAAGAAAGAAGACAAAAGTGAGAAAACTGCACTGATGGACTCTCTTTTGCCCCTCAGAAGTCAGGCAAAAGTGCTCATAGGAAGAATAAAAATGGGTGCGTAGGCCAGGCCAGGGCAGCCTTGAGAAGCCAAGAATGAATGGGACAGAGGCAGGCAAGAATGGGATAGAGGTGAGCCTAGCTGCAAGGTCCAAACGTATGGAGTAACCAGGTGGCAGGACACTACATCATGGGCCAGCATTGATGCCAAGGCAACTAAGGCAGCCAGGCAGGGGAAGCTGGCAGAGGTCTGACAACTTCGGTTTCTGGGCAGGTACTGCTGTTGATTGAGTAGTGGCTTCCCTCCTTTATCACTTTGGCTGTCTTCATGCTCCTCCTTTTCCTCCTCATCAGAAGTCAAAGATTCCTTTGACATCTGTTATTTTCTATTTTCCTGTGAATGATTTAGGCCAAGAGAATTCTAATTGGGGTTGCTGGGTGCCCAGGAACTGCTAGAGTCAGAGGCTATGAATACCAAGAAAGGAAAAGGGAATTTATGCTACAAATAAAGACCTTACCTTACTAGGAGGTGGCCCATGGTCATCCAAGTAAGTGGAATTTCCTAGAAAGAAAGGAAGAAAAAAGTTGATAGATCAATATTTTAAACCCAAATGAATTTATAGTGCAAAGGCATTGAAAATAAGCATTCAAGATACATTTTTATTCAGACAACAAAATCAAAGAACTACCAAATGGGTAATTTATCACAAGTTTGGCCACTTTTTGCTGATATTACAAACTTGGTTAATGGTTTCAGTATTACATATTCAAACATCCTATATAAATGGGCATGCATCACACAAACATGCCAATGCATATATCAGTAGTCCTCATCTAATACCTGTTGAGTTGACCTTAGACCACCGGGTCTCAAAGCTTAGTGTGCACCAGAATTAGCTACAGGGATTGTTAAAGCATACATTGCCCAGCCCTGCCTCTAGGGTTCTGATTCAACTGAGAATGAGCATTTCTAACCAGCAACCCAGCGAAACGGATGCTGCTGGTCCTGGGACCACACTTTGAGAAGCCTACAGGTTTCTCCAGTATGCCTTGAATTTGTCAACTTCTCTTCCTCTTTCCAGTCTAGCTTGATTGGTGTTGACTAATAGCCACCTTGGGCATATGTGTTTTCAGAGTGTGATTATTCTTTCCTGACCCATAAAAAAAGACACAGGAGGATTTGGAATTAAGGTTTATTGAAGTTTTTTTTTTCTTTTTAAGCACTAAGTTCTATACCAAGCACTTCACCTGATTCAATGATCAGAGGGGAAAACAGAGGCCTAGAAAAATTCAGTAACGCTCAAAGTCCACATGGCTATTATACTGCAAAGAAGAAAGAAGACTGGTTTTTGCAGGGTGTGTCTGGGCACCTGCTTATCTGAAAAGCCTGTCTAGTATCTTCATCTCAACTTCACCACAGCCCAGGCACTGCAGATGCCACCACCTGGCAACACTGGATCACAAGGGGAAGCCAATGATGTAGTCAGTCTAATCAGAGGCTACTAGCCATGAGGGGAACTGTTGTGAGTCTAGGGACATCATCTTCATCGGAAAAATAAAGATGGCAACACTTGCTAAAGGCATAAAATGTAGAAAAATGGAAACACGAGGTTATTTGTAGAGAATAACAGATCAGGGAATATCCAAACATAATAAATCACTGGGATTTGGCTTATAGGTTTTTCCACACTGACTCATCATCCATCCCTTTTTCTTTGTAGTCCTCTGATTTATAATCTACCTGATGTCCACAGGGGACTGTAATCTAACTGACCATTTGTTTGTGGTAAAGGGGCAACAGGGTCCAATTTTAATATACCAGACACAGTGTAAACACCTGCCATGCTCGTGATTGGGCCAGAGGCAGAAACCTTAAATGTGAATGTGATAAATAATTTGTTAGATCGTAATTACTGTGCTGAACTCTGCTCAGAACATACATAAATAGGACTTTAGGTCAGATTTAATTAAAAGGATGCACATAGCATGGTTGCCTGTCTATATTGAAGAATATTCCACGATAATGCAGCCAGGTTAGCTGCAAAGAGTTCCCTTTGTCCTCCTCAAGGGGCTGTAAGAAATCCCAACCCTACCCAGCATGTTCTCCAGATATCCAGCTCAAGTAAAATGTTTCTAGAAGACTAAAGATTTCCACAAGAATCCAAATTCCTAATGCTCTTAAAGGAAATGATCGAAATGCCTGATCACTGCCTCACACTTCAGACCAGGATCCCTTAGTCCTCAGCTTGGATGTCTTGGGACATCCCACACTTTACCCATCCAACACAGAACTCTTTAGTTGCTCCAGTTCCAGCCCCCATATTTCTGTCTCCTCTGCCTCCCTTGTTAGGTTACATAACATGTCTCTTTCCCCAAACGTGTCCCCTTTTCAGGCCAAAACCCAAAGTCGGCCTTAATCCATCTCTCTGCCCCATTTCATGCTTCCCAACCCAGTCTCAGGTCCTGTTTGCTGGCCTTCAAATTAAAACTCAAATTTGACCCTGTGCCAGTGGCTCATGCCTGTAATTCTAGCTACTTGGAAGGCTGAGAGCAGAAGGATCACAGTTCAAGGGCAATCTGACCAAATAGTTCATGACACCCCATCTCCAAGTTAATCAGAGCAACATGGACTGGAGGTGTGGCCCAGGTGGTACAGCGCTTGCTTTGCAAGCATGAAGCACTGAGTTCAAACCCCAGTTCCACAAAAAAAAAAAAAAAAAAAAAAATTGGACCACATGTCACCAAGCCCCTAGAGCCATCCAGGAGAAACCTCAAATTTAGTATTTATCCCTAATGTTCTCCCGTACTCATATAGCAACCAGAGAGAGCTCCTTATCAATGAGATCATGTTAGCACTCTGCTTAATCCATTTCTTTAAGACCTTTACTATGATGTACAAAAGCTTACATGAGCCAGGCCTTGCCTCCTACCACTACTAGCCATGACAGCTCCAGAACACATCAATCTGTTGTTAACTAAGGACTTTCAGAATGGTTCTTTGCTCTTCCAGAAAAGCTCTTCCCACCCCTGCCATTCAGGCTCAACCCAAATGTCACTTCCTTGTAGAGGCCCTCTCTGAATACTCTATCTAAAATAGCTCACTCATTTTTTTTACCTGCTTGTTATATAAACTCCCTAAGGATAGGGATTTATCTGACTTGCTCATTGCTAGAGTTCCTAGAACAGACTCTGGAAGAATACAGCAGGTACTCAGTATTAAAGAATGAAATGGCCACTTAATTCACCCTCTACACTAGAAATTTCAGCAATGGCTTATAAGAAATGAAACAATACTTGCACATTACCCTAAGTTGCTCCATCATCATAGAGTTTGCAGTGTTTTAAACAAGTGAACAGAAAATTCATCATGAAGTTTGGGGGAAAAGAACCATCTTGGTTGGGAAGACTGCAGAAGTCTGCCCTCAGAATTTGTCCCCTTATTACTCAATGTCACAACTACCCAATCTGCATCATATTGAGTTATTTTCTCATCTTCTCTGTATCTATTTCTTCTTGTGCAAATGAAAATGACGGAGTCCAGCTCACAGATACGATGTCGGACTAAATAAATAATGCAATATATAGCACTTAACTCAGGATCAGAGACAAAGCAAACGCTAGAGAGAAGTTAGTATTGTGGCTGTTATTGTCATTGTCCATTCAATCTTTATGTAGTCACAACCTCCAGTCTGTAAAGCCTCTATAGAGAAAATGAGTCATCTTTCTGTTCTTGTTAATGACCAAAACTGACCTCACTGATACAGATCTGAGTTCTATAGCATACCTTTGGCTCAACCTATGGTTAAACATTTTGTCAGTTTTAAAGGTGGGAAATACTGAAACTAAGAAAAGAGAACAGCGAATCACATGAAAATTATCAATTGTATCCGTCTTATATTCAATTGCCACCCCCCCAAACCACCTTTTGGGTAGTACTGGGGATTGAACTCAGGGCCTTGTGTTTCCTAGGCAAGTGTCCTACCACTTGAGCCACACTCTCAGCCCTTTTTGCTTTTAGTTTATTCTTCGGATAGGGTCTCATGCTTTCTACCAGTCTTAGACCATGGATCCTGATCCCCCCCCCATAGCTGGTATGACAGTTCTGTTCTACCACACATGGCTCTCAAGTCCCCCCTCCTTTGAAGAACATTTTTTAAAGGACACCTTAACAGCTATGTCTATATTAAATTATTTCTTTTAGTTATGAACACTACATAGTTGACATTTTATTGAGTAGAGTTAAACATACCTCAAAGTCAAGAATTGCTGGCGAGCATGACAAGGGTCCCTACACACTTGTAGGGCATGGTCGGCTGTATAGGGGTAATATAGTTTTCCTAGCTCCTCATCTACGTATTCAGTTACCATTTACAGAGGACTTCAACAAATATGAAATTCCTATCTTTACCACTAGACTGTATGATAACTATTGAGCACTTACTATTTGCAAAGACAAAGATTGTCTTACCTAATCCTCATAAGATCCCTAAAGGTCACATGAGTTAAGTATCTCCCTTAGGCCCCAGAGCCAGTACACACTGCAGAATTCAAACCCTTATAGTCTGAATACTATCAGCATCTCCAGCTCAGTAAAATGCAAAAATATTTTATGACAATTTCTCTCCCTTCATTATAGAAGACTTTCATAATCAGATGTTACGACCCAGAGGTGAGTCAGTCATGTTTAACACTTTCTTCTGCCCAAAGGAAGAAACAGGCCTCACCACTGTCCACTTGGACTCTGGGCCCCATAATCTCACCGGCAGATCACTAGTTATATCTCTGTGGCTTATCAGAAGCCAGAGGCTGCAAATGCCTCACAGTCGCAACAGAGGCTCAGAAAGCGAAAGACAAGCTGCACAGAGAAGAGTTTCTGAGCTGGAGGAATCAAACTTTCTGCTCTGAAGGTGTAACTATACGATCACTTGGTACTTAGGTAGATTTTTTCATCCTAGGGTCTTATGCTTTCATAGAGGAAAGTCAACAAAACTGTCAGAATATTTGAAAATGTAGTCAGTAACTTGTTGGCTGCAAAGATCAAAGGGTGAGCTGTTGTCAAAACATGATGCCCTGAATAGTTCCCAGGCATCAAAGCAGCTGCAGCTGGTCTGCCAGCACAGGATTTTATGAAGGGTGTTAACTTACAGGGGAAAATCACACCTAAGCCCTTGGGCCTAGGTGTGGGAGCACAGAATCTGAATTCTGGAAAGGGAAGGAGAAGGTATAGGAGGGCTGACTACAGGCTGGGCAGGGACAGAGGGCAAGCACCCACCAGACACCACTTCCATGTGCCTGTATACCTCTACTCTCAACAGCTCGGTGTCTGATCTGGATGGCAGGACTCTTTATTTTAAGAGGTCCTCATTTCATTTCTTTCCAGAAAGTAACCTGCACCTGTAGAGTTCTAACTCCAGCCTCCTGTTCATATCTCAAAGGCTTCCTTAGGGAATCAGGAATTACACCACCTTGTCAAGCTGGAGAAAAAGGAGAGGCATATACCTCACTCCTACCATGGACTGAATCCTCAGAAGGGCCTGAATGTAAACTGATCAGGCCACTGGAGTAG